ACACAAGCTAGTTGTACCTGTTAGTCGACTCCACCGAGTCAGTAATTCATTCTTAGGGCGATGTAGGTACGTAAAACGTATACGCACGTAAGCGTACTTTTACTACAAAATCCCAGAAAATATACAAAATTTGACCTGTTCAAAGTGCAAAAACTTTATTAAACTAAGTTTGTATAAAAAGAGTTATTATAATATTAAGGAATTTATGGATAATAATAAGCCCTTGGAATAAAGTGATTGCTACCAAGCTATTTCTAATTTGTTTTGTGTTGTTAATCATATAACATATATGATTGTAAACTGTTATTTAAAAAAAAAAGTCCCGCTGGGTTTCACGTTGGTTTTTCCCAGGACAGAGTTTTTTTTTCGAACCAGTGGTAATTAAACAAACAACGTCAAAAGTAAACAAATTTTAATCAAACAACAAAGAAGCAGTATTAATGTAATAAATAAATAGTTGTCCTGATAAACAATCATTGTATGATAAAGAACAGATATGTACTGTAAGACAGATAATTAAAAAAAAACTAAAAAGCAATGTCAAGTCAATGTTTTTTTTGCGCCCAGAAGCAATTGGAAAGGGCTACCCCGATACGCGAGGAAGTGGAGAATGCTTTATGCATACCACGACAGCCGGTCTATCGTGGTTATGCGGGACTCACTGTGACAATCCTAACCGGGACCCTAAGTGATACCCGCTAAACTCCACTTTGAGGGATGGGCAGAAACCTTTGAGGCCTCTCTGCCGAATCAGAAGCGACCCTCTTTTGGGAAAAGAGGGCACAGGCGGCTACGAGACGCTGAGGGAGAGCCTACTAAGGCAATTATAAGAAGAATCGGCCTGAGCCGCCAGGAAGCAGTTCAGGTCGGTTGAAATTTTATTTGGCGGGTCCGAGAGAGAGTTTCTCGGCCTGCGGACTCGATAGCGAGAGGGGAGTGGGGCTGCATAAGTAGCTGCCTCACGAATAAAATGATTGGAATGAGACTCTGAGGCTTTGAAGAAATTTTCAGAGAGTGTTTTTAGAAATTGTTGGATTGTAGGGAACTCTAAGTCCCGATGGAGGTCGGCGTTACGGAGGTACCAGGGTGCGTTCGTAGCTCGATGACAGAAGAGGTTTAGAGGTTTAGACTAGTTGGAGTTCATTAATAATTTTAGGGTCAGCGTGAGCAAAAATAGGGCCCGCGTAAGACATGATTGGTCGTATACAGAACTTATAAAGGGATCGCTTGTTACGGAGGGACACTTTACTGTGTCGGCCCAGCATACTGTTGAGCCTACTCAGATAAAATCGTGCGTGACGGGTTACTCTTTTGACATGGGGCCCGAAGGTGAGCCTCGTGTCAAGGGTGACGCCTAAATATTTGGCAGAAGTATACCAGGGGACAGGGGTCCCTAGCATACGTATTGGAGGGGTGTTTTTGAGGTGGCGTGGTTTATAATCGAAGTGATCGGCGGAGCTTTTCTCCGGGTTCACATCGATGCGCCATTTTTGGAACCAAGCTCCTAGGTCACTAACTGACTTTTGGATCTTGTTCCGTATGAAATGTAGCGAGGTACCTTTACAGTAGAGGGCAGTGTCGTCTGTGAAGAGGGAGAGCTGAACACCATTCGACGGGATGGGAATGTCGTTGGTGAACAGGATGTACAGGAGAGGAGCAAGTACTGAGCCCTGAGGGACATCAGCTTTGATGGAGCGCTGAGCAGAAACCGTGCCTTCGTGTCTAAAACGAAAGGTACGATGCTTCAGGTAAGAGGCCACGAGACGTACTAGATGGGCGGGGAGACCTATTCTGTAAAGTTTGTAGATAAGGCCTTCATGCCAGACTCTATCAAATACTTTGGCAATGTCGAAAAAGACATCGATGGTCTTATGACGACGAGGATAAAAACCGCTGAGGATATATTCCACAATGCGGTGAACTTGTTGGGGACAAGAATGTTTCGCTCGGAAATCAAATTGATGGGGGATGACAAGAGGGTCACCTTCTATGGGAAACAGACGGAGCCTCATGCCAGTGAGGATGACTCTTTCGAAGAGTTTGCCCATGGCCTTGAAGAGGCTAATGGGACGATGACTGGAGGGGAGTTTGAGAGGCTTTCCTGGCTTGAGAATACCAATGACATTTGCCTCTTTCCACGTAGTGGGAAAGTAACTAAGATTGAAGCAGGCGTTGAAGATAAGTAGTTAAAAGGGTTAACACCTGCTCAGGAAAGTGTTTAAGGGCTTGGTTGGAGATGCCATCCGGGCCCGGAGCCTTTTTGGGCTTAAGTCCTTTGATGAGGGATGAAATTTCATCATTGGACACAGTGATAGGGTCAGAGGCTGTAGGGGGTGAGTTCCGGCGGCGGACCTCATCCTCCGCTGACTGGATATGTGAGGGATCGACGGTTTGAGAGCTAGGAGAGCATTGTGCGGCAATGCTTTCTGCTAAGCACTCAGCCTTTTCCTCGTCCTCGAAGGCAACCGTACCGGTGACGAGAGAGAGTGTGAGTGTGGGTGATAGCGTCTATGCGGAGGGCTCTAGCCATCTGATAGTACGCTGTATGAGAGGGAAAGATATTCTCCATGAGCCTACTCATTTCGAGGTCTCGAAGTTCAGAGAGGCGGAAACGGACTTCTCGTTTAAGACGATTGGCCGTACGCCTATATTCGGGGGTGGGATAGATCGCTGCTCTCCGGAAAGCAGCTCTCTTGGCTTTCATTAGGTTGCTAATATGTAGGGGAAGCCAATCATTATTAGCAACTGGGACGACCCTTTAATTCTCCTTAAGGGAGGATATAATAAGGGTGGAGAGTGAATCGACCGCGGTGTCGATTTTATCGGGACTGTCTAAGTCCGACGAAACGGATATGGGGGAGTCCTATGAGTCCATAGATTTAGCTAGGGACTCCTTGAAGCCCTTCCAGTTAGTGAAGGTTTTTGTAGAGGGTGTCGAGGGAGGTGTCTGATGGCCAAGTATGAAGGAGACCGGTTGATGGTCGGATCCTAGATCGTCTAGTGTCTCGATTGCCCTGAGGTTGAGGGAAACTCCTTTGACTAGTGTAAAGTCTAGCACGTCGGGAGCGTGGTCGATGTTATCGGGATAGTGAGTAACACCGAGGGGACTGTGGACGGTAAGGTCTAGGGACTGTGTGATATCAAGCAGTTTCTTGCCACTATGGGAGGTAGTACGGCATGTCCATTCAGTATGCTTGGAGTTAAAATCTCCAACCATAATGACTGAATTGCCGAGAGATAAAATAGCCTCAAAATAGGCCAAAGAAAGGCCTTTAATGTCCTTAGTTTTGAGATTAGTTTCCCGCTAGGTCCCCTCAGGACCGTCTCCTCGCTCTTACTGAGCATCACAATCTTTAAAGACAGCGATCTCCCCAATGTCGATGTTCCTAATAGCGGAGTAAACCGCATTAAGGTCATCAACCATTGAGAGCTGTGACTGTTGAGGGGCGGAGGATGTCAACGGTGGGTCGGCATTTTTGGGCCACAATTTTTAAAATATTTGTCTGTCTGTCTGTTTAGTCCGGCTTATCTCCAAAACGGCTGGACCGATTTTGACGGGACTTTCACTAACAGATAAGAGATTTTATATGGAGTTACTTATACTACTTTTATTTTAGAAAAAGAATTAGAGAGCCGCGCAAACAATTAAAACTCTTGAAATCCAATCGTAATAAATTTCACGCGGGCGAAGTCGCGGGGAACAGCTGGTAATCAATAATAAAGCAAAAACTCTCATCAAATATCATACTGCACACTATTGCAAATACGATATTTACTAATTACATGGTAGGAGTCATATCATTATATACATATCGATCTAGAAGCATCCATGTTTTGCTTAATAAATAATTATAACTGATTTCTAGAGAGATGAGAGGCATTATAAAAGTATTTCTCACTTAAACATTCGCATAATTTATCCTAAGTACTAATTTAAAATTTAATATTTTTAATTTTTTAGGTGTAAAAATATCCACTACCCTTCATCAGCCTGTTAATATCATAAGACCATGCGTGGATCGTCTATACACAGTCCTTGGTACATATAGGCCACCAAGTTTTAAAAATGTTAGTCCCTATCTAGACCCCATCGACTGCATATTGCGTGACGTAAAAACTAAACATATTGTTTTCACAGGTGATACTAACCTTGATATTGTTACGCGCTTGGGGTTCGAGACAATTAAAAACTGCCGACTGAATTACCAAAATTGACACTTTAATTACACAACACTAATTACAATCAAAAATCACACTAATAATAAAACACAGTTCGCCGTTATTTCGCTTCGAAGTATTCTCTTGTATCGCCAATTCAATACTGCTCCGGTCGTGGTCTATACCGGCCTTATATAGGGCCTCAGATAGTTTCCAGAACCTTCTACTGTAGCGACATCTAGAATGTTCGAGTACATATCGGTCCCGAAATTTCTGGAAGGATCTCGACTCTCCTAGTTCTGCTACTCGACACTAGAGGGCGCTAGTGTGACTAGTGTTGCCATGTACAAGACATTAATAGTGGCGCGCAATACTTTCATTTACTCGACACTAGGGGGCGCTAGTGTAACTAGTGTTGCCATGTACAAGACATTAATAGTGGCGCGTAACACTGCCCCCTCCTAAGACATGCTCGTCCCGAGCATTATTGGCCCCATAATAACGCGCCAGTCGATCCACATGGACAATCTTAGGAGTACCTCTGGCACCTTTCTGTATCCGGTAGGTTACATCATTGATCCTTGTCACAATCCGGTACGGTCCGTCCCATTTAGCTTGAAGCTTAGGAGATTTCCCTTTGCTGCGAACTGGATTGTGTAACCATACTAGTGAACCTTCATCAAAGCCCTTGTTGTTCATTTTGCGGTCATACCGTGTTTTCATCTTCTCAGACGTTTGCTGGCCCGTCTGTCTGACGTGCTCATAAATGTCATTCATTTTGTTCCGCAAGTCATTTGCATAATCGGTTATACTGCGTGGGGCATCAGGTGGTATTCCGGTAATCAGGTCTGCAGGCAGCCGCAATTCTCTCCCAAAGTTTGCTGTGTACTTTCGTGAACAGCGCTTCGATATGACAACAAAAACGGTTGTATGTGCCTGTCCCAGTCTCGTTGCCGTTTTTCCACAACTTTTGCTAGGTACCTCTCCAATGTCTGATTAAATCTTTCTACCATTCCATCAGATTGCTGGTGGTAAGAAGTTGTTCGTGTTTTCTGAGTACCCATAACTCGGCAAGTTTCCTGGAATATTTGAGACTCAAAATTCCTTCCTTGATCGCTGTGAATCTCTAAAGGTACTCCAAAACGACAGAAGACTTCATGAACTAGTTTATCTGCAACTGTTGAAGCTTCTTGATTTGGAATGGCGAAGACTTCTGGCCACTTAGTGAAGTAATCCATCACTACCATGAAATACTTGTTACCACTTTCAGTTTCTAGAAACGGCCCCGCAACGTCAATGGCTATCCTCTCCCATGGTGCACCAACATTGTACAATTTCAATGCGCCTCTACTACGAATTTGAGGTCCCTTTACAGCCGCACAACTTGTACATTTGCGGCACCAGTCCTCGACATCGTCACGACAGTGGACCCAGTAAAACCGGTCTCGGATCTTCAGGAGAGTTCGCTTAACTCCCAGGTGGCCTCCTGAACAACCACTATGGTACAGCTGTAGGACATCCGGTACTTTAGCCTTAGGGACAACCATTTGCAAATGACACCTGTCTCCCCGACCATTTTCCCATTTACGGCACAGGACTCCATCCTGAATCAGCAAGCTGTCCCATTGGGCCCAATAGCTTTTCGTGGTCGAACTCATTGCTGAGACGTCGCTCCACTTGGGCTTAGGAGCACTGGCCTTCATCCATTCCAGAATCGGCTTAATGTCCGAATCTTCCTGCTGTGCATGTTGTAAGCTGTCCTTCCACTCATTGCTGAGCTGGTCTGTCCTGAGCTTCTCACAGATACCACTTCCTTACCCTCTTGCCTAGTACAATGCTTGCAATCTTCAGGGCAAGGTCTTCTTGACAATGCATCTGCATTGCCATGAGATTTCCCGCTGCGATGTTCGATCACAAAGTCGTATTCCTGCAGTAGTTCTATCCATCTCGCAACTTGTCCTTCCGGATTTTTGAACTGCAATAGCCATTTCAGTGCAGCATGGTCAGTTCGTAAGTGGAATTTCCGCCCTAGAAGATATTTGCTAAAATGCTGCAAGGACTTTACCACAGCAAGCAATTCCCGTCTTGTGACACAATAGTTCCTTTCCGGCTTTGACAACGACTTGCTGAAGTACGCTATCACAATCTCTTGATCACCATTCCGTTGAGACAACACACCGCCAAGTCCTATATCACTTGCGTCTGTGTCAACTATGAATTCCTTGCCCGCATCAGGGTACCCCAAAATAGGTGTTTTGCACAGGCGGTTCTTGAGCTCCTGGAATGCAATATCGCAACTTTCATCCCAGCAGAATTGTCGCTTCTCCTCGGTTAGCTTGTGCAGAGGTTTGGCTATATCTGCAAAGTTCTTCACAAATCGCCGATAATAAGAGCACAAACCTAAAAATGCTCTAACCTGTGTCTTGTCTTTTGGGACCGGCCACTCCTTGACAGCAGCAATTTTCTCTGGATCCGTGCGGATACCTTCTTCCGACACTACATACCCCAAAAAACTAACTTGCCGTTTGAATAGTGAGCACTTCTTTGGACTCAACTTGAGGTTGGCACTCTGGATCTTCATGAGCACGCGTTCCAGGTTTTGAAGGTGCTCCTCAAACGTACGGCCTACGATGATGATGTCATCCAAATAGACGAGACAGGCATCTCCAATTAGCCCGGTAAGTACAAGCTCCATCAACCTTTCAAACGTTGCTGGAGCATTGCATAACCCAAACGGCATGACTTTAAATTGCCACAGACCCTTTCCTGTGGAAAATGCAGTTTTCTCCTTGTCCTTAGGGTCAATTTCAACCTGCCAGTAGCCACTTTTCAGGTCCAGCGTACTAAACCACTTTACGCCTGTGAGCATATCCAGCGTGTCATCAATTCTAGGCAAGGGATAGCTGTCCTTCTTCGTAACGTCGTTCAGGCGGCGGTAGTCAACACAAAACCGCATGCTGCCGTCCTTCTTCTTTACCAGCACCACAGGTGAACACCATGGACTCGATGAAGGTTCAATAACACCATCCTTCACCATTCCCTCAATCATGGTTTCCACTTCCTTTTCACGTGCTACAGGCAATCTTCTTGGCCGCTGACGAATAGGCAATTCTTGTCCTGTGTTTATTTTGTGTTGAACTAAGCCAGTCTTTCCTATGTCAGCTTCGTTTGGCGAGAAAACATTGGCGTACTTGAGTAACAACTTCTTCGCCTTGACCATTTCATTCGGGGAGAGAACGCTGCGACAGTCTTCTAAAAGTGTGGTCACTCTCGTTTGTCCATCCTTGCTAGGGGTCCCGGTCGATAGATATTCGCACCGACGCAACCAATCCACTTCCTCACTAGTACCAACCAATGTGCCTTTTTCTATAATCTGTTCCTGATCACAAAGGTTCAACACACGTACTCCTGAGATGTCGGTGGTTCTGACCAAGGTTCGAGCCACTTTCCATGGAAGGTCGTTGTCTACCCTTTCCACGAGTACACAACGATGGGCTTGCCCAGGACTCCGAGGAAGACTAACCGGCACAATCGTTTCCGATCTCGGCGGAAGAACAATCTTCTTAAGGCTGTACACATTCCCTGGTAACGCCTCTTCCACGAAAAGTTCTTCTTGTCCACATTTCAAAACACCTTGCTTAACGTCGATCTCACAACAATTCTTCCTCATAAAGTCTAGGCCCAGGATGCAGTCGTCCATTATATCAGCCACGATGACATTATGCAGGTAGATCATGTTGCCAAGCTTCAACTCCATCTCCTTCTCTCCACGGACGGGTATGCGCTGACCAGTGGCTGTCACCAAATTAATGCGTTCTCGGTTGTATGCGGAGTCCCCAAGGAACCGACTTATAAGTTGGGAACTGACAACCGTGCGAGAGGCTCCAGTGTCTATGGTCAGTTTACACGGCGTTCCGTTGACTTCGCCCTTGATGATTAGGCTGTTCCCATCATGGGTTTGTGAGATCGAAATCCTTGGGGCTCTTTTAACATCAGCCAGCACCCGCCAGTTTCCCTGCTGCTGCTGGGCGGTGCTATTATCCGCACTACCCTCTCGAGATCGATCACCTTCCCTTTTTACAGTTCGCTTAGGGCAGCTGGATCGAAGATGGCCCCTTTCTCCACAGCCGTAGCACCTAGGGCTGTAGCTTATATTGCGGTCCTGAACTTTAGCTGCTGCAACCTCCCTGACGCGGTGGGAACGATGATCCTGCCGCACGGCTTCCACCTCCAGTGCATGGGTCAAGGCGTCCTTAAGCGTCTCGTGGTGCCCGAGCCTCACAGCAGCTCTGACTTCAAGGTCGCGGATGCCGTCGATGAATGTCTGCACCAAGTTCCCTACAATAAGCGCAGGTACAGACTGGTACGCTTTTCGAACCAGCTTCTCCACCTCAAGGGCCCAGTGCTGCAGGTTTTCGTTACTGCGTTGCACGCGATCTTTGAGCTGCGGACGAAAGACGTGTTCCAGGTGAGCGTCGCCATATCTCGCCTCCAATGCCTCAAGGAGCTGCTCGTAAGTCACTTCCTTACCGAGAGCTTCCAGAACAGTTAATGCCTGGTCGCGCAGGCCTAGGGTGAGAGCAGTCATGGCCTGACTTTTATTCCAGCCGTTCGCTTTCATGACAGCCTCGAACTGGATTTTATAGGCCGACCAGGAAGAAGTCCCGTCGAACGGTGGCACTTTGAATCCACGTAGCGAAGGTGTTGTAGCTACCACGGGAGCTGTAACTCCATCCCCAAGTTTGAGGTCGTCCAGCGTTTTCTTCACATCAGCCATCACGTTGTCAACCCGTTTGTTCACTTGGTCGATTCGGGTTTCAGCTTCCGACAGGCGGTTGTCATGTTGAGCAACCCTATCCTTCACCTCCTTTATCTCTTTCCCGAAGGTAGCGTGAAGGTCCTTCCTGAGGAGCATCTGTTCTTCCATACCGCGCTGCAGCTGCCCTTCCAGCCGACGGGTCTGTTCCTCCTGTCGGCGGGCCTGTTCCTCCTGTCGGCGGGCCTGTTCCTCCTGTCGGCGGGCCTGATCCTGCAGCATCATCATCAGAGCTTCTAAGTCAGGTGCTGCAGATGCAGGAGCTGCTGGCGGGCCAGCCTCCGTGGTTAGCAACTGGCCCTCCGACGTTTGCGGCGTTGCATTACCAAATCGTCTCTGGTCCGTCTCCTGTTGGCGTTGACTTCGGGTACGGATACCCTCCGTGTCGTCTTTAGGTAAAATCGGCATATTTGATCCCACTTCTGACACCAATTGTTACGCGCTTGGGGTTCGAGACAATTAAAAACTGCCGACTGAATTACCAAAATTGACACTTTAATTACACAACACTAATTACAATCAAAAATCACACTAATAATAAAACACAGTTCGCCGTTATTTCGCTTCGAAGTATTCTCTTGTATCGCCAATTCAATACTGCTCCGGTCGTGGTCTATACCGGCCTTATATAGGCCTCAGATAGTTTCCAGAACCTTCTACTGTAGCGACATCTAGAATGTTCGAGTACATATCGGTCCCGAAATTTCTGGAAGGATCTCGACTCTCCTAGTTCTGCTACTCGACACTAGAGGGCGCTAGTGTGACTAGTGTTGCCATGTACAAGACATTAATAGTGGCGCGTAACACTTTCATTTACTCGACACTAGGGGGCGCTAGTGTAACTAGTGTTGCCATGTACAAGACATTAATAGTGGCGCGTAACAATATTATGTCAAATAATCTAACAGGATACACCATGGACTATCTAAACATCATGGCTTTCTTGGCTTACGTCCCTATACAAATAGGTCATTAAAACCTTGGATCACCACTGGTGTAGTGAGATCTATACAAAAGCGAGATAAAATTCATAAAAGACTTCAACATAATATAAATGATGAAGACCTTAATAATTACTATATACGGTACAGAAGAACAAGATTATAAAAACATTAAAGTGCAAATATAACCAATCTCAACTTGAAAAATACGCAGGAAATAACAAAGAAACATGGAAAACTATTAAAGAGTTGTGTAATCTGAATAAATCAAAATCAAAATCAATGGAACTATTAAGAATTAAAGAAAATCCAACTGACTCCCTTAGTGAGGTCAAAGGTGTTTTTATTGACCTACAAAAGGCTTTTGACACAGTGTCAACATCGATTCCTTTGCGGAGGTTGGAGAACTTGGGTATAAGAGGGACTGCACTGCAATGGTTTCAGAGTTATTTATGTGACAGAAAGCAGTGCGTTAGAGTGGATAGTGGACATTTCAGTAATGGCATGCAATGCACATACGGTGTCCCACAGGGCAGTACTCTTGGGCCGACATTATTTTTAACTTACGTAAATGTCATGAGTAAAATTGAATTAAGCGCCGCCAAAATAACTATGTATGCTGACGACACAGTATTAATGTTTCATGCAAAGAGCTGGGAGCTTGTGAAACAAGTTGCTGAGGCGGGACTGGCCTAAATTTCTTGTTGGCTAGAAAATAATCAACTTTCACAAAATACAACCAAAACAACATTAATATGTTTCAGCAAAATTCTAGCAGGTCAACCAAATGACAAATTTAAATTAAGGATTCATACAAGTCTATGTAACAAACTTGATGATGTTCTAATATCTTGTACCTGCACTTGCATAACTAAAACTAACACAATAAAATATTTGGGAATTATAATTGATGAAAAGCTTCAGTGGAAACATCAAATAATATCACTTGGTAAAAAGATAAGAAAGCTTGTCTATGTTTTTAAGTTACTTAGGCTTGTAGCAAGTCTAAAATTATTGTTGCAAACTTACAGGACTCTCTGTGAATCTTTAATAAGTAACGGTATCTGTTCATGGGGCGGGGCTTCTAAGAGAACTCTTGCCGAAGCTGAACGTGCCCAATTATGTATTTTAAAAGTAATGCTATTACTTCCATTTCGTTATTCAACTACACTAGTTTATAAAAAAGCCCGAGTACTGAGCGTAAGAATTTTTTTTATCTATACAAAGGTACCATCGTATAACTGCTTCATATATTAAAATTCCAAAGAAAAGGACCTTCAAACACCCGACCCCTAGAACAAGAAGTATTTTTGCGAAAAGACGCTATAGTTACATTGCCCCGCATTTGTACAATAACTTATACACGGACATTTAATTAAACTTAAATAATTACAGTAACCACCAAATAAAGGCAAGGATCAGAGTGTGGTTAGAGAATCTCGATTATGACAGCACAGAAGCAATTATGCCGTAGGTTTACCACACGCAATACTCACACACATATATTCCAACACACGCTCACCCACTCACATACGCACCAACATACAAACACACACACAGAAATACATTTTGTGTGTGTTTGTGTGTGTGTGTGTGTGTGTGTGTGTGTGTGTTTGTTTGTGTGCGTGTTTAAAATAACTTTTTTTTAATTTCTTATTTTTATTTCTGTACTTGTTTAACTAACTAAATAACTAAATTATTATATAGAAATTGACCTTTTGACAAGGCTAACTTTAAGGAGAGGAACTGGTTCGTGAAACACAGTTACATTAGGTCCCTGAGCTAGGGAATGAATGAGTTTATGTAAAAAGGCTGTTATTAAATATATATATATATATATATATATATATATATATATATATATATATATATATATATATATATATATAAGGCAATCTAAGGGGAGACCTACGTGCAGCGGTGTGCTTTGATATGATGTAATGAAATCCCATAATTTATTTTAAATTGATACTGTGATTGCTCTTCAGACATAAAATGGGGATTTTCTAATTGCTAGCTATATACTATGTATATATATTAATGGTCATAAATATTATATTATATTTTGGTACAAAGTCACTCGATGGCGATACGGTGTCGAAACGATACCCGTCAAAATCTTATCATCTTCCAAATATTCACATTATTAATGTTCGTTTTAAGGTTATGATACCATACATTTTTTATTAGCCGTCGTGTAGTTGCGGCGCAATAGAATCCACTACCATCCCGTGGGTTTCGTAATAGACGAGAGAGGAAAATAAAACAGGAGATGAGCAGCTATATCCTTCT